TACAGGTGACACTATACTAAGCTATATTTCCTGACCACTCCTACGCAGGCAACCATTACAGTACATTGTTTTAGATGCAATTGGTTGAATTTTGTGATACACAAGATACAATGTTCAGTACATAATAATTCTAAGCATTGAAAAAGTCTCAAACATGTGGTATTGCCATACCCGGAACGAGTAGCAGGATATGTTTTGGGGTGTGATTCGAAGTCTTTACAAGTTGAGGAAAGTGGAAAGATAGCACTGGACCCATAGGTTTATTTTATTGGTGTTGTTACCTTAACGTATTAATGTTGGTGTAAATGATCTGGTTTCTGGGAAGTTGGCTTCTACACCCCAGGGGATCTACACAGTATCCTTGGCTTGCAGAATGATGTAAAAAGAGTTGAAACTGAAGTGCCACACCACTGCTAAGAGATCAAGTTACAACTTTGTTCCATTAAAGGTCAGGGGTACAATTCAAAAAGTATTTCAGGGGTATAAGTACCCCCTTCATCAGGGCTTTACTGGCAACACAGTGAAGAAACCAGAAGAGAACTGGACTTACAATGGTATTTTTTCCATTGTGAATTTAAAACACAGGCCTAACCAGCAGCTTGTTTGGCAGCCAAATCAAGCTCTGATGAAAGGGGTATGGCTACTTTTTGGAAACGCATTGACTACTTTTTTGGATTGATCCTCTGACCTTTATTTGAAATAAATTTGTATCTGGACCTCTTAGAAGTGGTCAATTTTAACTTTAACACTGAAGTCTTTAAAAGACTCACCATGCCTCTTAAAAATACATTGGGGTGTTTACTTTCCAAAATATAGTCATTTTGTGGGTGTTTCTACTCTCCTGGTGCTCCTTCTCAAAGGTAAAAAATAAATTTAATTACACTATTGATGGTCTCCTCTTTGATCTCTTGAAACAGATTGGGACTGGAAGTGGAAGTGGTCATGAGAAGGTACCCAGAAGAAGTATATGAGGAGGAAGTATGGTGGGAGGAAAGCCCATGTAATGCACTACTGCCCTTATTCAACATAAGGATTCATTATTATTTGGATCTTTTTGAAAGCTGAATGGCAGTAAGGCCTGTGAGAGCTTCCTAATGATGCAGGGAACAAGCATTGTGAGGGTCAAGCAAACCTTATTTTGGGTGTGGAGGCATGAGGGAAGTTTTTTCTGATCCTAGCTTGGTGGCTCACCTTTTTGGCAGAGTTTAAAGGGACAAGCAACCTCCGTCCTATTGGGTCTGGTGGTGTACTACTGATCGGAATTGAAGGAGATGTGCAGCTCTTTCTCCTATCAAGGTACTGATGCCCAGGAGTGATGGAGGATTGTTCTAAGTGGATAAAACTTATTTAGACATGTATGTCCACATACTGTAAGTCTTATATTGAGGTAAGCGAGTACTTTTGAAGGTGGTGGCAATTACTAGTGTATTTATTGATGCACAGGTAAAGCACTCATATTGATTGGTGAATATTGGTGCAGTGAACACTTAATTGGAAAATATTTTTGGACTGAACTGGATTGTTTTGATTTTTTTTAATAATAATGTATTTCCTTTTTTTGCACTTATATTGCTTTGTGAATATTGAAGCAGTGAACACATTGATGGAACATGGTTCTTGGACTGATTTGGGCAGTTTTGATTTATTTACCTATCATAAATTTTTATTTTTGGAACTTAATCTTTACATGAAAATTAGATGTGTAATTTAGGCCCCTAGAAAGCCTGAAAGTGCTCTTTGGATTTTGGGCCTCTCTATGTGAGTAGGCTGTGAAAAAGTCTTACACGTGTGATATTGCCATACTCAGAAGGAATAGCAGAATGGGTTTTGATGTGTAATTCTAAGTATGCTTTGTGTTAAAGATATTTTAATACTTGACAACTTTTGTAAAAAATTAAAGGATAGATAAGTTCACCTTACAAATAATAATAAACGCACATCTTTTTGCAGGTAATGAAATGTGCTTTTATTTTTTTTATTGGGAGCCTGTAAAGCGTTGCACCCATGATAAGCAGATCACGGTTGTACAGTAGGGCTCTTGTAGACTATCAGTGCAAACTGTCTGTACTTAGCCGTTGCATGGGGGCAGCTGCAGCTACAGCAGCAACATGTTACATGTTGCACCCTGAAAATGGGTGTAATTTGTAACATGTTGTAAAAAGTGAACTTATCCCTTAATTTTCATTTATATTTCGCATTTTCCAAAAACATATGGAAAAAAATTAACTCTTCAAAAGAGCCACCATGCCTCTTAGAAGGTACCCAGATATGTGATAATTTTGTGGGTGTTTCTACTGCCCTGGTGTTCCAGAACCACCAAAAATGTGATAGCTAATCAGGGAAATACTGTAGATGTGTAATTTGAAATCTATGTACCATGGTTTGTAGTCTCTTAAACTTTCACACAGACTAAATATACACAGGAGATCTACAGTATTTGTTTACACCAAGGAAATACAGCAGAATACTTTGGTTTGAATTTATGTAGACAGAATATTTTTCTTTTCTATAGCAATATTACAAAACCCAGTGTTGATTAAATACCACCAAAAGCTCTGTCTTCAAAAAATGATATAAAATTAATGTGTGTACAGTGTTGTATGAGGTGCATGAGTAATTGTCATTCAAGGTGTAATAGCGCTGAAATCTGAAAATGGCTTGTGCAGGAAGGGGTTAATCCATCTGTTTTTGAAGTGGTTAAAGTGCCACTGCTGAGGGAATTGTTTTTTTTAAAGGTGAAGAAATGAAACATAAATGTAAGTTTACCCAAATGTTTGGTCTTTTTCTTTTTACAGTAAAAAAAAAACCCACAATGTTTTCTAAAGTCTCCCAAAAAGAAAGCTTCATCTGTCTCAAAACAATTACATAAAGTTAATTTGAGGATAGCGTTGCTTGACTGAGTACTTGTTAATCACAACACTAAGAACTTAAAAATGGCCTGGAAATGAAGGTGTATTTACAAGCTTGTACCCTAGTGGTTAAAATAATAATACTTGTAGCCTTTTTTTAGAACCAACAAGGCCTTCTTTTTGGTGAAATCGTATTTGAAAATTTTTTTATGCAATCCATAAAAAAACAAAAAAACAAAGAAAATGAATAAAGAGGAAAAAAGTCCTGTATTTACACAGCAACTGTCAAATGATATCTGGGAAATGCAGGCGAGTGACAGCAGAGAAGAAGGGCAAGACATACTCTTTATGCACTATGGACTTCAATGATATTTTCTGGGTGTATACAGCATGCCCAAAGTCTACAACTGGTTAAACTAAACCCCAGCACTGAACTTCCCTTATTTGCACCCTTTTGGGTCTTTTAAATATACATTAAAAATGTTTTATTGTCTGTTCACTAAGTGCAAAAAATACTTCTTGATCCTGTCAGAAAGCCAGTGCTGTCCCATGCACTCTACAATGGTAACCTAAACAATGTTATCAAAAAGTATGTTAGGAATATTAAACTAGTGTCTCTCCAAAATTTGGAGTTGGAGCGGAGGGTGTTCTGGAGATCTAACACACTTCCTGCCCTAGGGTAATATAGCTGCACCTCCACAGATAAAATTCAGTGAGTAAATGCTGCCATCATAAGAAAGGGAGTGTGTTACTAGTTCTGAAAACACAGAAAAAAAAAAAACTATTGTAACCACTATATGAAATAACCGGTAGGTTGTAATAAAGTATATTACATTTTTGTTGTTGGGTTTAGATACAGTTTGATATAATCTAAAAATCTATTTATGAAACACAGTAATGACAAAATGACATACAAGTATATTCTAGCTAATAAACATGACATGATGATGTATTATTGGTACAATGAGGGGGGAAAGAAACAGACACTCCTGAATGGGGTACATTAGCAGCTACTTCCTACACTATATTGCCAGACGTATGGGGATGCTTGACTTTACATGCACATGAACTTTAATGGCATCCCAGTCTTAGTGCATAGGGTTCAATATTAAGTTGGCCCAACCTTTGCAGCTATAACAGCTTCAACTCTTCTGGGAAGGCTGTCTACAAGGTTAAGGAGTGTGTCTATGGGAATGTTTGACCATTCTTCCAGAAGCACATTTGTGATATCAAGCACTGAAGTCGGCCGAGAAGGTCTGGCTCACATTCTCCACTCTTATTCATCCCAAAGGTGTTCTATCGGGTTGAAGTCAGGCCTCTGTGCAGGCCAGTCAAGTTCCTCCACCCCAAACTCACTCATCCATGTTTTTATGAACCTTGCATTGTGCACTGGTGTGCAGTCATGTTGGAACAGGAACGGGTCATCCCCAAACTGTTCTTACAAAGATGAAATTGTCCAGAATGTCTTGGTTTGCTGATGCCTTAAGATTTCCCTTCACTGGAAATAAGGGGCCAAGCCCAGCTGCTGAAAAACAACCCCAAACCATAATCCCCCTCCACCAAACTTTACACTTGGCAAAATACAGTCAGGCAAATACTGCTCTAATAGCAACTGCCAAAGCCAGACAAGTCCATCGGATTGTCAGACAGAGAAGCATGATTTTTCACTCCAGACAACATGTTTCCGCTGCTCTAGAGTCCAGTGGCGGCGTGCTTTAGACCACTGCATCCAACGCTTTGCATTGCACTTGGTGATGTAAGGCTTGGATGCAGCTGCTCGGCCATGGAAACCCATTCAATGAAGCGCTCTATGCACTGTTGTTTTGCTAATTTGAAGGCCACATGAAGTTTGGAGGCCTTCAGCTATTGACTTTGCAGACAGTTGGAGACGTCTGCACACTGTGCACTTCAGCATGCACTGACCCCGCTCTGTCATTTTACGTGGCCTACCACTTTGTGGCTGACTTGCTGTTGTTCCCAGTTGCTTTCACTTTGTTATAATACCACTAAGAGTTGACTGTGGAATATTTAGTAGCAAGGAAATTTCACAGATGGACTTAATGCACAGATGGCAACCTACCACAGTGCCACACTTGAATTCACTGAGCTCCTGAGAGCAACCCATTCTTTCACAAACGTTTGTAGAAGCAGTCTGCATGCACATGTGGCCATGGAAGTGATTGGAACACCCGAATCCAATGATTTGGAGGGGTGTCACGATCCTTTTGGCAATATAGTGCATGCTGCCCCTGAAGTTACACCACATAAAGTGACACTAAACAATATCTTTAATTTCCAAAAACGATCCATACACATCCACTACTGAATGGCCCTGTAATCTATTTTTCATGAAATTGATTCTTACTGTATTTTTTCTGCATCCTGTTAACATTATTTGTGGACCCCATTCCTTTAATTTTCCCCACACTTCTGTTTGTTAAGAATGAGCAGTGCATGTCAGTTGTGGTCATGTGCGCTACTCTCACAGTCTCACAGTCCATATTCCCTAGTCCATATACATACTGTCCTTCTTCCTAATATGATGAAATAGAATGCAGCAAGCAGGAAATATACACGCTCAACACACCAGTCCTACATTCTTTAATCCACATAGCAAAGGAGTCTTGAGTGGGTAAGTCCACTTCCAGGTCTAATAGGATTAGAGTATCTATTATAGTGAATATACTGTATTTATTAGTGGGTTAACATCTGACTACTTGAAAATGTGTAAGCCCCTGCCATTTTGATCCCATCCCATATACCTTTCAGAATTGGATGGACACTTCAAATGGTCATTGCTTCCTTGATGAAGGGATGGTTTTTGTCCTGTGATTAATAATAATTTTTAGTTACCATAGCATCTATTAATTAAAGGTGTGTACACTGTGATAGATTCTTTGTAGATTTGTGCTTCCAGATGATGCACAAAAATAGTCCCCTGTTTATGAGTAAGATATCTGAACTATTTGCTCTTTTAACTATGTATTAAAGGCAGATAATAGTAAAAAAAAAAAAAATCAACTCAGATTTTTTTTAGGCTTTATATACCAACCATCATTGGTACAAATTGTGAAAAGGCAAGGCTAACTTTACTAAGCTATGAAAATAGCTTTCTGCCATAATACCCATTATTTTCAATCATGCGAAGTAATGAGAGCTAAAAAAGCAAGTCACATGACTGACAGAAAAGATTATTATGGTAAAGAACACATGCTTTATGGATTAGAACATTAGTCTTATCATACAAAAGGATTATGTCCTATGACATAATATATATTTGACTGTGTCCATGATTACACATAGAACATGTAAGCTCTGCCATGCCTTTACTAAACAAATTCCAGCTGTAGAATGAATAAATTTAGAGAATCATTATAGTACTGGAGCTTTAAAATCTGGGTGATTCATATGCTCCAGCTACTGGGTTTTGCTTGATTCCCTGAAAGTTGACTTTAAAAAGATGTTACAAAAATTTACTAAATATGGTGATCAGCAAAAAAGTGTAATAAATAGGCAGTCCAAATCCTCCAGGATGGCACATCAATACGTGCCATTGCCAGAAGGTTTGCTATATCTCCCAGCACGGTTAGCTATGTCTCAAGAGCATGGAGGAGATTCCAGGAGACAGGCAGTTAATCTAGGAGAGAAGGACAGGGCCACAGGGCCGTAGAAGGTCCTTACCCATCAGCAGGACCGGTATCTGCTCCTTTGAGCAAGGAGGAACAGGATGAACCCTGCCAGAGCTCTACAAAATGATCCCCAGCAGGCCACTGCCTGTAACATTGTTCACTATGACTGTTTTGGTGGTGGGTCAGTGATGGTCTGAGGAGGCATATCCAAGGATGGATGCACAGACCTCTACAGACTAGACAATGGCACCCTAACTGCCAATAGGTATTGGGATGAACTCCTTGGACCCATTGTCAGACCCTATGCTGGTGCAGTGGGTCCTGGGTTCCTCCTGGTGCACGACATTGCCCGGCATCATGTGGTCAGACTGTCAAGGAGCTCAGTGATGCTCTGGTCCAGATCTGGAAGGAAATACCCCAGGACATCATCTGTCATCTCTTTATGAGCATGCCCCGATGTTGTCAGGCATGCATACAAGAATGTGGGGACCATACAAACTACTGAATACCATTCTGAGTTGCTGCAATGAAATTTCAGCAAAATGGACTAGCCTTTCGGGGAGTCATTGAATTCAGTCCTCTGTAGGTTGATAATTTTCATTTCCATCAAACGATGGGGCATCCTTCCATTCCTAACACATTACTCAGTCCATATTAGTACTGTATTCTGTATATATCCAGCATGATATTTTTTCCTATTGAGATCTGATGTGTTTTCAAAGTTTTCTTTTAATTTCTTTGAGCAGTGTATATATATATATTTGCAAAGATTCCATACCTGTGTTGGGAATAAAGGGAAATTACAGGCATCATGCATTCAGCGAGCTACTAATGCTACCCAGAGATCACAGCAACTGTACAGCTCCAAAAAGGTTTTAAAAGCAATGTACTGCCTGAAGTCTGTGCTTTGTAACTTTCTTTCTTCCTGCTTCATCAATCACATTAAAACTCCAAGGCAGATTCAATTGATGCAGAAATTGATGCAGAAAGTTTAAATTTTTCAATTTAAAAATAAATTCCAGTCATTAAAAAAGTCAACAGCTACAAATACTGAAGCTACTAATTTTTAAGAAACATTAACATACCAGACCACAAGTCCAGCGCTGTCTTCATCAGGGCTGGTTATTCGCTGGTCTTCAGACCCCTGGTTCAGCCATCTTGGCTTTGGGAGCCAATGTGACTTCCTGCTGTTTTCCCACTGTGCATGTGCGAGATTGCACTGTGCTGTCATATTGGTCTAGCAACATGTAACATGTCCCAGGAGGTTGCGGACTGAGGGGTGGGTCAGCCAAACCTAGGTGAGAATTGTGGAAGTGGGCACAGGTCAGAAAAAGGTATCTGATTTAAGTTTGTGGGCCTCATAAGATTCCCTTCTTAGGCATTATAATAGCTAAAAGCTGAATTCTGTGCCTCCCCCACCCCAATCTAACTAATCGTTGACGTTGAAAAAAAAAACTAACTTCCTATTGGCTGTCCAGAGAAGAGGTTCTTTCAGGATCCAGAAGAGGAGTCTCAGGGGTGACATCAGCAAAAAGGGACTTTTAGGGACTGGCTAGTTTAGACACATCTGCAGTGCTTTATTTACTGGTCCCCCACACTGGCATGGGACTCCAGGAGCAGTGGGATGGGGTTTATCTTTGCTGAAGAAAAGTGTAACTACCTATATCATTTTCTATATTAAGGTGACAATTCTGTTTATTCTGCAGCGAGATTTTACATCAGCACTGTCACCTGAGGATAGGGTAGTCTTAAATGGACATATAATTTTAAAGCCTAACACATGCTGGCACTTTTTTAGCAGTTACAGAAAGACTTTTTTATTTTCTTTTAAGAAAAAGATTTAACCCTTTCCTGCTCACCATTTGTATGCTCCATGCTGGAGATACATTTATAAATAATTTCGACTTTGAGAGCTATCAGCTGACACTTAGTGAAGCTGTTGGATATCATATCCCAGCTATGACTGACAGCTCAGGTCCCAAGTAACGATTGTGAGCCAATCAGCATGGTTATGTATTACTTTTTTTTTTTTTTCTTTAGCAAAGTACAGCCATTAAACTTTTTTTATACAAAAGCTACAAAATTTTTTTATCATTGGAATGCAAATAATTTAAATAATACCCCAATTGATGTTATAAATAAATAGCTCCAAGAAGAGGTGACACTTTTTCAATATTGTTTGCTAATAAATCCCTTCTTTAATTGAAATTGTTTTTATTACCCAGATAACTGAAATTTCATTTGTTTTTTTAATGCCTAACTCCAGCCAAAACACTGTCATTTAATTTTGGATAGTCTTGGAAAAAGTAAATAATTTTGTTAGCTTGGGGCAGCGCAGTCGCTAAATGGTTAGCACCTCTGCTTGGCAGTACTAGGGTCGTGGACTCAAATCCCAACCACAGCACCAATTAACTGGAGTTTGCATGTTCTACCTGTGCCTGCGTGGGTTTCCTCTAGGTACTCCAGTTTCCTCCCATACTCTGAAGACATGCTGGTAGGTTAATTGGTTCCTGTCTAAATTGGCCCTAATATGGATATGTATGAATGTGAGTTAGGGACCTTAGATTGTACACTCCTTGAGGGCTAGGGACTGATGTGAATGTACAATATGTATATGTAAAGCGCTGCATAAATTGACGGCACAATATAGGAACCTGTAATAAATAAATAATAGGTATTTATTGTGATCCTACTAGGGAGACCTCACCTCTTGTGATAGCAGAAGAAGAGGGGAGCAGTTGTCATTGGGATTGGTAAACACAGACAGTAACCTTATACAGGTTTGGATCCTTCATTTACTGATGTAAACAAAAGGTATTAGTTGTAATTTGTTGGAGAGATTTCCCATCACTTCCTTTAACAAATAGAAGCAAGGGGACTTATCACTCACCCTACTGTATCAGGACAACAGAAACAGGGTATACTATGCAACGTCACCCTTTTTCTAATTAGTCATAACATAAAGAGACACAGTTCTATAGTCTGGTTCTGTAGTCCTTAAAGAGCATTGTAATTAATAACAGTCAGCACAGGAAGAGAGCACGGGAAACCACCAGCTTAGATTTCTGGCAAGATCAACTGGTACTTTTTTTAGCATATCAAATAAATACAGTATATAAAACCATGTCAATAGTATATTCAATAGACCTAAAGGAATAAAATAAGGTAAATTCACTGTTAGAGTTTACATACACATTCAGGCTGAAGTTTAACGTGCTTATTGTCAGGGCCGTCTTTAACACGGGGCAGAAGGGGCAGCTGCCCTGGGCCCAGTCATTATTGTGGGGCCCAAAGCAGCTGCCCCTTAAACCTGCGCTTTTCAAAGTTTTTAAGACTGGGATGCCATTAAAGTGCGTGTAAAGGCAGGCGTCCCAATACTTTTGGCAAAATAGTGTATATGATTTTGACAGTGCTATTTCTGTGTGTTCCCAAAACAAAAACCATCCAGGCAATGGAACATGAGAAAATTTAAGGCAAAGGAGAGTCAGCAGAATGAAAAACATGCATGCATCATTATGCCATACATCAAAAGGATTGTGCAATACAAAGTGTACATAAGAACACTTCCCTCCAAAAGCACAGTATGGCA